ATCAATGTGGATTTCACAAGTTTCAAAATCTCCCCTCCCCCTACCGCATCCCAAAACCAGTCCAGCTCGTCCCTGCCTCCCTAACCTGTTCTTCCTCCCACCTATCCCCTCCTCCCAGCTCAAGCCGCACCTCCATCTCCTACCGACCAACCTCATCCCGCCCCCTTGACCTGTCCGTCCTCCCTGGACTGACCTATCCCCTTCCTAACTCCCTACCTACACTCACCTTTACTGGCTCCATCCCCGCCTCTTCGACCTGTTTGTTTCCTCTCCACCTATCCTCTCCTCTATCCCTCTTCTATCCGCCTCCCACTCTCTCCCTATTTATTTCAAAACCCCCTGCCCCTCCCCCTTTTCTGATGAAGGGTCTAGGCCCGAAACGTCAGCCTCTCTGCTCCTATGATGCTGCTCGGCCTGCTGTGTTCATCCAGCCCTGCACCTTGTTTTCCCCAGAACATTAGCTGAGTTTCTGCATTAACAGTCTAACAAAAATACCACTAGGCCATCATCTCCAAATTAACACTTATCCCCACAAATGCCAAGCAATGATCATCTCCCACTGACATTCAAAGGCAGCACCAAGTTCCCCACTATCAACAGCCCAAGAGTTACCACTGACCAGAAAATGCATCGGACTAGCCATCTAAGTACACAGACTACACTGCAGGTCAGAGGATAGGAAGCCTGCAGCAAGTAACTCATTTCCTATCTCCCCAAAGCCTGTCCACCACGAACAAACCACAAGTCAGGAGTGTGATGGAATACTCCCCACTTGTCTGGATGGGTACAGCCCCAACAACACTCAAGAAGCTTGACACCATCCAGGACAAAGCAGCCTGTTTGATTGGCACCACATCTGCAAACATCCATTCCCACAAACACAGACATTGAGTAGCTGCAGTGTGTACTATCTACAAGCTGCACTGCAGTAAATCATCAAAGCTTCTTAGACTGCACCTTCCAGACCTACCATCTAGGAGGACAAGTGCAGCAAATACATGGGAACACCACCACGTGCAAATTCCTCTCCACGCCATTCACCTTCCTGGCTTAGAAATGCATTGCTGTTTCTTCACTGTCACTAGGTCAAAATCCTGCAATTCTCTCCCTAATAGCATTATGTCTCTGCCCAGGGCACATGGTTTGCAGCGGTTCAAGGAGGTAACTCAAGGGCAACTAGCAATAGACAATAAATGCTTCATCAGCCAGTGACCCCTCACAATGGAATAAAACAAGCTTACTTGACATTCTCAGTGGGCCCCACCACAGGGAAGCTGAGGGGTGTTCCTTGAAAGGCAGTGGCATGAAGATAATCAAACACCACCTCATCCAGGGTGCTCTCCATCTCCTGCATCTCCCGTAGGATTAGCTTCCGCCCTTGTTCCACCTCTGGTTCTGACAGTGAGCTGTTCTGTACCAGGTCACCAAGGATTTCCACAGCTGTTAAAGAAAAATGCATCAGTTCACACAGACGTGTGTGACTAGTTTAACTATGTTAAGTAGTGTAGAAAATCAATGTAGCAGAAGTAGTAACTAGCAGAGTTTGACACATTAAACTACGGTGGTAACTAATTCTGCATTCTACTTAACACGGCATTAACTAGCAGTTTGAGATTAGGCCATTCACAGGCAGCTAAACTGTTTCCTACATGTCACACACACTCACTCTTTACCATCACATGCTCATATCCACTCACTGTGGACTTGCAAAGGTAGAGGAAGGGTTCCTATGGTAATCAGGACCCCCCCCCCAATCTCAGAGTCACCCATAATAAATTTATGAAAATAAATTTAACAGAGGTTTTGCCAACAAAATCCTTCCATCCAACTGGTGGGAAAGCATTGCTCAGCCCCATTTCCTCTCATACTCTTTCACCAAAGGTCTGATTTCAGGTACAGCCATTAACCTGGGACGCTGTTGACCCACTGAGGACAGTGGGTTCAGCATAAACCAGGAGTCACAATGATATAACTGGAATGTATAAAGTATAATCAGACAAAGGAATCCATGGCAAATATACGCTAAAATGGTGAAGGGTTCTCGCAATAAATACAGGGAAAGGAACTGAATAGCTGCTTCAAAGACTTCAGCACAGTCACAATGAGCCAAATCAATGCCTTCGGTGCTGTCAGGTTTTGCATTGAATATTTCCCAAGTGCCTCAGGCCAAGGAAGTAGAGTTCATACAAATTCAAATCCTGCACCCCAATTTACAGACAAAAGGACCAAATAAATATTCCAATAATCCCTAAGCAGCTGTAGAATGTTCAGTACCTTTTGGTAAATCCTTGGCCAATGATTTCATGTAGTAAGCAGTCTGTTCACGAGAGGTGTATGCACTCAGATGAGCCCCGAGGCTCTCTATCTCATTCTCCAAGACCTGCTGCGAATGTTTCTTCGTTCCCTGGAAAACACACGGTTTCACATTTCTCCAAAGTATTTGGTTATTTCCAACTTTCCTCCCTTACCAATAAACATGATTCAACCCAAAATTCAATCTCAATCTCAACACACTACTGTCAGCGATATACAGTCAAAAAAAGCACCTCGCCTTTGATCTTCTCCCTTTGTATTTATTATGATCCAATCGGAGGATGAACTGATTTGCGTCTTTGTCCCACTCCTCCACTGGTTACAACAAAGTCCGAGTTTGAAATTGGTGACATTGACAATTAGACGTATTAATATAGATATCATGAAGTGATATAGAATTGGAAGGCATAGAACCTGTACGGGTATAGTGGAGAAAGTACAAAGGTAAAAAAGACCATGATGGGAGTTATGTACAGGCCTCCTAGCCATAGTCAGGATGTAGGGAAAAAAATAAATCAGGAAATAGAAAAGGTATGAAATAAAGGCACGGGAACTTCGACATGCAGGTGGACTGGGAAAATCAGGTTGGTACTGGATCTCAAGAAAAGGAATTCATGGAATGTCTACAGGATGGTTTTTGGAGCAGTTTGCGGTACAGCCCACTAGTGAACGGGCAATTCTGGATTTAACAAAGTATCATGAGGCTGACTTGATTAGGGAGCTGAAGGTGAAGGAAACGTTAGGAGGCAGTGACCATAATATGAAAGAACTCCCCCTGCAGATGAGAGGGAGAAGATTGAATCAGATGTAACAGTATTACAATTGAGTAAAAGTAACTACAAAAAGACATGAGGTAAGAGCTGGTAAGAGTTTATTGGAAGGGGAACCTAGCAGGGAAGATAGTGGAGCAGCAATGGCAGGAGTTTCTGGGAGTAATTCAGGAGGCACAGCAGCAACTCATCCCAAGGAAGAAGAAACTGACTTGATAGAGGTGTACAAAATGATCAGAGGTATAGATAGAGTGGACAGCCAGAGACTTTTTCCTAGGGTGGAGATAGCTATTACGAGGGGGCATAGTTTTAAAGTGAGTGGAGGTAGATACAGGGGAGACGTCAGAGGTAGGTTCTTGACTCAGAGAGTGGTCGGGGCATGGAATGCATTGCCGGAGAGGGTAGTGGAGTCGGCCTCATTAGGGGCATTTAAGCGGCTATTAGATAGGCATATGGACAATAGTATAAGGTAGGGATGGAGGTTAGATAAACCTTAGGTTTAGGGTAAAAGTTCGACACAACACCGTGGGCCGAAGGGCCTGTACTGTGCTGTACTGTTCTATGTTCTATGTTCTAAACATACTAACAGAAGACGAAGCAAGCATGGCTGACAAAGGAAGTCAGGGACAGCATAAAAGCAAAAGCGAAAGCATACAATGTTTGAAGAATAGTGGGAAGCAAAAAGCTTGGGAACCCCTTACAAACCAGAAGATAACTAAAAAAGCAATAAGAAGGGAGAAGATTCAATATGATAGCTAGCTAGTAATATAAAATAAAATTACGAGTTTTTTTTTAAGATACCTAAAAGTTAAGAGAGAAGGAAGAGTGGACACTGGACCACTGGAAAATGAGGCTGGAGAAGCAGTAATGGGGAACAATGAAATGGCAGAGGAACTGAATCAGTACTTTGCATCAATTTTCACGGTGGAAGATACCAGCGACATAACAGAACCTCAAGAGATCAGGGGCAGTGGTAAGCGTAGAGGCCATCACTAAGGTGGTGCTGGGAAAGTTGAAATGTCTGAAGGTGCATAAATCACCCAGACTGGATGGACAACAGAGGCATTGGTGGTGATCTTTCAGGAATCACTGGAGCCAGGCAGGGTCCCAGAGGACTAGAAAATGAAGAATGTACCATTCTTGTTTAAGAAGGGAGGGAAGCAGAAGTTGAAAAATTATAGTCTGGCTAGCCTGATCTTGGTAGTTGGTAAGATTTTAGAGTCTATTATTAAGGATGAGATTGCGGTTTACGTGGAAGTGGACGGTAAAACAGGGCTGAGTCAGCACGTTTTCATCGGGGAAGTTCATGCCTGACAAATCTATTAGAATTCTTTGAAGTAACAAGCAAGCTAAACAAAGGAGAGCCAGTGGACATGATCTATTTCGATTTCCAGAAGGCCTCTGACAAAGTGCCTTTGACAGGAGCTGTGAAATAAGATAACATCCCATAATGTTAGGGGCACTGTACTGGCATGGGTACATGATTGGCTGACTGGCAGAAGACAGAGAGTAGTGATAAAGGATCTTTTTCAGGATGGCAGCCAGTGACATTTTCTTTTATTTATTCATTGATGGGGTTTGGGTGTTGCCAGTTGGCCAGCATTTATTGCCTGTCCCTAATTGCACTTGTAGAGTTCTGCGAGGGTTGGTGTTGGGACCACAACTATTCACATTATACACTAATAATCGGGATGAAAGAACTGAGGACATTGTTGCCACGTTTGCAGATGATACAAAAATGGTTGGAAGGAGAGGTATTATTGAAGAAGCAGGGAGGTGTAGAAGGACTTGGACATGTGAGGCAAGTAGGCAAAGAACCAACAGATGGAATACGATGTGGCAAAGTGTGAGGTTATATATTTTCACAGGAAGAATAGAGGCGCAGTCTATTTTCTGAACAGGGAAAGGCTTTGGAAATCTAAAGCGCAAAGGGACTTGGGAGTCTGAGTTCAGGATTCTCTTCAGGTTAAAATGCAGGTTCGGTTGGCAGTTAGGAAGGCAAATACAATGTTGGCATTCATTTCAAGAAGGCTAGAAAACAGGAACAGATGTGTATTGCTGAGGCTGTAAAAGGCTCTGATCAGACCACATTTGGAATATTGCGAGCAGTTTTGCGCTCTGCCTCTAAGGAAGGATGTGCTAGTGTCAGGCGGGAGTGGGGGGGGGTAGGGGAAGATGGCGGGGAGGTGGGGTCGGTTTAAGAGGAGGTTTACAAGAATGATCCCAGGAAATGAAGGGTTTGTCATATTAGAAGTGGTTGAGGATTCTGAGTCTGTAATCAATGAGTTCAGAAGAATAAGTAGGGGATTCAATTGAGACTTGCAGAACACAGAGGGGCCTGGATAGTGCAGACGTGGAGATGATGTTTCCACTGGTAGGAGAGACTAGAACCCTGCAGCATAGCCACAGGGTGAAGGGACAACATTTTAAAACTGAGAAGAGGAGGAATTTCTTCAACCAGAATCATAGACATACAGCATGGTAACAGGTCTTTTGGCCCAACCTGTCCATGTTGACCAGGTTTCCTAAACCAAACTAGTCCCATTTGACTGCATTTGGCCCATATCTCTCAAAACCTTTCCTATTCACATACCTGTCCGAATGTCTTTTAAATGTTGCAATTGTCTCCATCTCTACCAGTTCCTCTAGCAGCTTGTTCCTTATACGCACCAACCTCTGAAAATATTGCCCCTCAGGGCCCCTTTAAATCTTTCCCCTCTCACCTTAAACCTATGGGTCTGTTTCCATGCTGTGTATCTCTATAACTCCAGGCCCTCTAGTTTTGGCCTCCCCTACCCTGGGGAAAAGACCTTAGTTATTCACCTTACCTATGCCCTTCATTATTTTAAAAATCTCCATAAGGCCATCCCTCAACCTCCTATGCTCCAGGGAAAAAGTCACAGCCTATCTGGCCTCTCCTTATAACTCAAACCTTCCAGTCTCAGTAACATCCTTGTAAATCCTTTTTTGCAGACTTCCAGTTTTTCTTAAACATCCCTCCTATACAACCAGAACTGTATGTAGAGGTGACTGTGAAGGCCAAGTCTTTGACTGTACTTAAGACAGAGATAGATAGGTTCTTGATCAGCGAGGGGATCAAGGATTATGGGGAGAAGGCAGGGCAGTGAGGTTGAGAAACATATCAGCCCATGATCGAATGGTACAGCAGATTCAATGGGCTGAATGGACTAATTCTGCTCCTATATCTTATGGTCCATATCAGAGTTAACGTACATAGCTCAGTATCAGAAACAATTCGGCCAGAGTCCTTATGTAATAAAGTAAAATACACTGACACACAGGGTACTGCAGATATTTCCTAATCACCCTGTTCAGAGATTTTATGACGAAGCTCTGGAGCAGGTGGGACTTGAGCCCAGGCTTCCCGGCTCTGAGATAGGGGAACTACCACTGCACCACACGAGTCCCTCAAAGTATCGCTTGAACGAGGACTTGAACCCTGGACTCTCAGATTGAAAGTCTGATGCTTTACTGACGAAGCCATCCTGGCTCATCTAGGAGCCCACTGAAAGACCACGCACACGCACTGCACCTGTTTCAACTCAACACAATCGGGACATCCATTTGCTGGTTTATTTCTCAGGGCAATATCCTGACAAATTACAGTCAATCTATCAGGTTTAAAACAAACAAATCTAGCAGTTCTGTCAGCCATCATTGATAGATTCACCATGGCAACAGCTCTGCCAATCACAGTAAAAGAAACTAGAACCAGGGGTAGGCCATTCTCTATCTCACTATTCCTACTCCCTCCCCCCCCCAATAAAACCCCTTAATGTCTTTAAAATCACAAAAATCACCAATCCGTTTCTTGAATATCCTCAGTGACCTGACCTCCCCAGCTTTCTATAGCAGAGAACTGACCACCCCAAGTGAAGAAATGTTTCCTCATTTCCATCCTAATTGGCCTATCCCACATCCTAGAATCACAAAACCTTGAGACTGTGTCCCCTGGTTCTAGACTCCCCAGCCAGGGGAAACATCCTCCCTGCATCTAATCTGTCTGGCTCTCATTCTTCTAACTCTGGTTGGTGAGTGGGCTTTGTACTCACTAATCACCATCCTCCTCTTGTACAACATAAATACTGGTTCCCCTTTAAAATGGTATGCTTGCAAATTAGTACAGAATCATAGAACCCCATCAAGTCCACATCGACCCTCCAAACCCAGCCCCTCCCTATCACACCCCATGACTAACCCACCTAATTTACACATCCCTGGGCACTACGGCCAACTTCGCAGTGCCAATCCACCTAACCTGCACATCATTGAATTTTGGGAGGAAACCCATACAGACATGGAGAGAACATGCAAATTCCACACAGCCTGTCATCTGAGGCTGGAATCAAACGCGGGTCCCTGGCGCTGTGAGGCAGCAGTGCTAACCACCGAGCCATCGTACTGCCCTAATTGTCCTAATGAGTACAAGATGAAAAATTCTGATCACACGTCTTTCCAGCAAAGTTCAACCTTTTCCCTCAGTACCCCTCTCATACAGGGCAGACACGAGAAACCCTGTTCCTCACAGACCCAACTGGCACTAGGGACCATACCCCTCTCACACACAGCAGGCACTAGGACCCTGTCTCTCACAGACACAGCAGGCACTATGACCTTGTACTCTACCTTCAAGACTACATGCTCCAGGAAGTTTGAAACTCCGTTGTTCTTCTCATTCTCGTACCTGCTGCCAACATCGATCCACACACCGACCTGCATGGAGACAGGAACAGTGAGATTAATACCAGTTTCACAGATCTCAGACATTTCAGGGAAGGTGCACTGTGCTACAGCCCACTGAGTGATGAAAATCTATGGTGGAACGAGCTGATTCAGAGCATCAGGGCTAAGCAGGTAACTCGACCATGGCTAGGGCACATGTCAAAACAGCATATGCGCTGGTCTTGCATGAAGTTAGCTGTGATACCTTCAACAGTCAAACAGCTCACAACCCAAAATCACTAAGAACTGGCCATTTCGTAGGGGTTAGCATGTGGCCGGACAATCTGGAGGTGAAGAGTTACAACTGGAAAGACTGGGAAAAGCTATACCAAAAAATGAGCTAGTGTCGCACATGTATAAATGAACCTTGGAGTGCCAGAGGCTTAAAGATTCATCTGTTCCCCCCAATTGCAATGTCACCCTCATCCCCAATTGCAATGTCTTAGACCCAGTTTGCCCTAAGAATCACCATTCTACCCAAATTAAAGCAATGTAGATGCTGGAAATCTGAAATTTTTAGAATGGAAATAGGGACTAGAAATGTTAAAACTATTTCTCTCTACACAGATGTTGCAGATCTGCTGAGTTTCTCCACCGTTTTCTGATTTTAATTCAGATTTCCAGTGCCCACCAAACTGAGGATCAGGATGTGGAGTGGTGAGGGGTACATTTGAACAGACAGTACTATATTGAAGAATGGGACAGCAGCAAAGTTTGCTCACTGTGCATGTCGGCTGATCTGACTCTTCTGTGGCGACTCGAAGCCCATTGTCCAGTGACGACAGCTGTGTCTCGGGAATGTTGCTGATGGTTTGAGCGTAAGACACCGTGCTCTGAAAACGCTTTGTTCTTAGCAGAGTCGGCTGTGTGGAGAGGGAGCAAGAGAGGGTAATGAGCGAGGCAAACAGCAAAAACCCCTA